TGCCCTAGGCCCAGGGCTTGTAGAAGCGAGACCTGCCCACCTCCAAGGACCTTGGTGGCATTCACAGGTGTAGTCTCCCTGCCTTCTGCCAAGCCCTGTCCTAGATGTGAGAGGGTGTGAGCTGACCAGCTACAGGCCGCCACTGTGCTTGAGGTGTGTGTGTACAAGTATGAGTGTGCACCTATATGCAGGTGTGTATGCATGTGCGTGCCATTGTGTGTACACACATACTGTGTGCATATGTGCTTGTCTATGTACAGATGTGTATCTGCACACATGGCGTTGTGTTCAGAAGAGATCAGCTGTGGATTTCCCACCCACCAGCCAGGTGACTTAACACGTACCTCAGTTTCCCCCTGTGCAGAGGAACTCTGGCACTCTCCCCCTGGGGTTCTGGGGACAGATGAGGCGACTCTAAAGTGCAATATGCAGCCTGTGGTAGGTGCCTCTTCAGTGGCATTTGCAGTGGACGTGAATCCCCGTTGTGCGTGGGGTTCACACTTGTTTGTGTGCTCCTTAAAGTGCCCGAGGGCCTGACCCCTGTGGGACTTTGTGTTCGTTCACAGGCCGACTCAGCAGTGCAGTGGTGGCCACTGAGCACACCCCTCACCCCTTCCCTGAGCCGGGACGAGGCGCTGCCCTGCCCCTTCCTTGGCCTTTTTGTCCTTTTGTGGATCTCACAGTTCAGGACGGTCCCCAAGCCTAGAGCTGCAGAGGCTGTGAGGCTCCTTTAGAGGAAGACTGCGTGGTGGGTAGACTTGGCTCAGGCATGCGCTCCGGTGCCCTTGGCTGGGAGTGGACGGTCATGGCCAGAAGTGCATCGTCAATGCCAGACTCTCCCGAAACAAGGTTATGGATTCTGTGGGAGACAAGAGTGCGGTGACCGGAGGCTTGCAGGAGCCCAGCCCTGTGCTCCTGAGGGGCAGGGTTTCAGTACCTGCCAGCTGTGTTGGAGGAGCTCCGGTGGCCTAGTGGCAAGCTGTGCTGCAGTCCCAGGGGTACGTGGTTCAAATCCACCAGCTACTCCCAGGAGAAGGATGAGCAGTCTCCTCCTGTGCAGTTTGTTGCCTCTGGGAAAACCCTCTCGCGGGTCGGCTGTGGGTCGGTTCCAGCTCGATGGCACACAACAGCTACGGTTCTGACCTGATGGAGCCACAGAAGAACGTAGCTGGCGTGAATACCGAGGGCTAACGTGTGAGGGTCCTGTGAGCCTGGGAGTGAGTTAAGAAGGGCTCCCTCTCCTGGCTCCTCTGGGGAGTCGAGGTTTCTGCTTTCCGAGGGCCCCTTGCCATGGGGTTTCACGTCCCCAGGCTCCCCTCTGGGCCCCAGTTCAGCAGTGATGGGCGGATGAGCCCTGGCTGGAGAAATCTTTAGCTGAACAGAGGGCTTCCCTGTGGGCTCTGTTTGTCCCAGTCGTGAGACCTTTCTGCAGCAAGTCTCTGCTACCCCGTCACCCACCCAGCAGGATGCCGGAGGGACATGGGGAGGCAGATAGCTGCAGGAGGAATTGAGTGAGGCCGAGTAGGGCATTTGTGTGTGCCTGTGTGTGTGCACACACGTGTGCAGACATGTACTTCAGAGGCGTGGACCTGAGAGCCCTAGGTGGGCTCCTCCTGCGGCTCTGTTCTCTTCACCAAGCTGCTTCCCTGCTTGGTGCGGAGTCTTCTACAGATTTTCTTCTGAGTAGCAGACAGGTTGCCAGGGACTGGCGGTGAAGTGTAGGCATGATTTCTTGGTCCTGAGTTGTGTTACTGTGGGTTGCATGCTAGTGTCGAACAGGACGCTGCCTGAACTGGCAGAGGCGGATGTGAGCACAGCCCTGGGTGCAGGCCCCACCCGTCAGCTTCAGATGTGCCCAGAGAGTTGGCACTTGGGGTACAGGATGCCCGATCAGGAAGGGGGCCACCTGCTCCTGTGAGGTGCTGTTTGGTTCGGGTGTCCTCTCATGGCCTCCAGGACTCGGGGACACTTGGTCCTCTTCTCTCTGCTCTCTGGGATGGAGGGTGGTGTTCCTGGAGCCCAGCCGATGGGAATGCTCCCAGCAATGTCCTGCCACACCTGCCCCGGCGGGCGTGTTGGTGGCCGTCCACCCTGCTTGGCGTGCTGGGACAAGGAGGCCAAGCCCCATCCTCGCCTCACAAAAGCTCCACTTGCCAGAGAGCCACCACCATGGCCACTCTGTTCTGGGCCCTGTCACTTGTCCAATGGGACTCCACAGTGCTTAAACCAGAGCTTTTTTTTTTTCTTTTTCTTTTATTATTTTTGTGTGCGTGTACCGTCAAATCAGGTCTGACTGGTACAGGAGGAGATTGCCCCTCCTTCCCCAGCAGAGCATCTGGTGGATTCGAACCGTGCGCCTCTGGGATTGTAGTTGCAGCTCCTTGCCACTAGGCCACCAGAGCTCCCCTAAACCAGAGCTTTTCATGCGTGTCCCCTCACCCCATCCATCAGGACGTCACTGCCAATCACCCTGCCACCCAGCAGGACTCCCCATAAGTGTCCAGTCCATCAGGACATCAGTGCTGCGTACTCTGCCACCCAGTAGAGCTACTTATGAGCGCCTCCTTCACCTCACCCTGCCAGATATCACAGGGGCCAGAGAGAGGGGGAAGGGGGAGACAGCTAGAGGAAAGAGAGAGAGTGAGAGAGAGAGTGTGTGTGTGTGTGTATACACACCTGGTGGCGAGGTTAAATGCTGAGACATGAGCCAGCAAGTCCCCATCTTGTCTTGTGGGCCCTGGAAGGATCCTAGCTGTTTGGGGCAGCTCAGGCGCTGCCTTGGCCTGTGGCTGACGTCAGGTGCGCAGGCGTGGCGGGGCAGAGTCCAGCCCGAGCAGGGTCTGAGAGCGCTTGTCAGGGAGAGAGGCATCTGGTGAGGGCTGGGGCAACGATTTCCTTCTGGAGTTTTCCTCGCTGAGGGCCAGTTGAGCAGATGAATCAGTAGCCACACCCCAGCCTCACTCAGCTGTTCCTGTTAGGATGTCTGGTTTTGAGGCGGGGGAGTCCCCAGGCTGGAAGGAGAGCCACCTGAACCTCACGTGCTCCGTTACATCTTTGCTTCTCACCTGCTCGTCATTGTGCCAGCAGGTGGAGCGGGCTGTGTCCACGTCCAGTGGAGACACCTGGACCTTGGCAGGGTGTGTGTGTTGTGGTGGGCTGTTGGCACAAGGCAGCGCCCACTACCCAGAGCTGCCCCTGGCCCAGTAGCTGCCTCCTGCAGCATCTCCCGAGTGGTCATCTCCGGGGGACTGAGACCCAGAGATGGTCTTCACTTTGCCAGCTGAGGTGTCGCACGTGCCTCGGTCCCCCACCCCCAGAGGGCCACCCTCAGGGCTGGAACGACAGGAGCCTCTGCCAGGAACCAGAGCAGCGTGTCGTCTGCTCTGCCAAGGGTTTGTCATCACACGCAGGTGTCTGTTGGGAACCTGGTGCTGATAGGCCTAGAGATGCAGCGTGGACACAGACCTTCTGTTTGTAACGGGCAGCAGTATCTGCGAAGCACAGTACCTGCCCACGCACGTCGTCACCCTTCTGCCCTCACCTGCCCTCCAGTGAACCACCTCTGTAATTCAAACTCTTGCTTAAGTTTCTTAAGCAGATTCCGCAAATGGGTATTTCTACGCTTATTTTTCTCTCCTTTTTTATACAAAAGATGACATATATACCCCAGCTTTGTAGGATCATAATAAACCCTCCGGTGTTTCCGCGTCAGAATAGAGCTGCTGCCACGTGGGTCTTCTCCTTGCTTCTGTTCAGCTTGCCCTTTTCAAAGTGGGAAGATCAACTTTTGCCTGTGAGATGAATTGCAAATACTTTAGCATTTGAATTTGTTCTTTGTCTTTTGACTTCTGCTTTTGGCATTTTTAGCAGTTGCATTGCATTATAATTCACACCCCTGCAGTTTGCTCACTTAAAGTCTACGGTTGGTGGGTTTTATATATTCAGGACTGTGAGACCATCACCACAACCTGTTTGAGAATGTTTGCATCACAGCAGAAAGAATCCTCATCCCTTCCCAGGGCCCCCTTCCCCCTCCAAGTCATGCCTTCCTGGTCCACCGCAAATCTGCTGTGGTGTCTGGATTTCACCAGCTCCTTGTTCTTGAGTGGAATCCTGCTGCAGGTGGTCTGTCTCCACGCTGCATCATGTTGGCATGGTCGTCCACAGTCACACGCACCAGTTGTTAGGGTCCCTTGGACAGCCTGACTCCGGGCAACCCTTCTCCTCGAATGAAACGGGTCCTCTGTCATCCCCATGACTGGATGCACACTGCACTGTTCTCGTGGGTTGATTTTCAGGAGGTTGCCAGGCCTTTCTGCTGCCATCTGTTCAGCGGCATGCCACGTGAACGCCTCCACTTAGCGTGGCTGCCAGCCTTCCCACGGTGACTGCACCGATTTGCATTCCCACCACCACTTCTGGCTTTTGTTTTTCATACATTTTTATCAACTTGATATATATTTTTTTGTGGCAGTTCCTGGTGGGCTCATTAACTCAGCTGTGCCAGGCCACCTGGGGTACCCGCTGCCCCAAGGTGGTTCTTGGCACTGTGAGGTCCATTCACAGCTGCACATGACGGCCTCCCCCCAGGAGTCTCAGAGGCTGTCATCTTACGAGAGGCCATCCTTCCAGGGTGGGTTCCCGTGCTTAGCTCCTGAGCCACCAGGGCTCCTGGTCACCTTCAGCGCTCTGTCTCCAGCTCGCTCACTGGAGGTGGAGCTCCTGGGGCCAGGCTGCCCCCTCGTCTCCTTTGACAGCGGGCCCAGCGGTGGCCAGCATGGAGTCTCTGCACGGGCCCCGAGGATTGTACAAATCACCGTTTAGAAAGGTGCTCACCAGAGAGCATGCCGGTTCACACAGACCAAAATGAGAACCAGAACTGAGCCTCAGTGGGTTCTCGGCTGCTGGTGGGCGGACGCTGGCAGGTCCGGTTGGCAGCTGGGCTCTGTGGCTTCAGAGAGTGTGGCCCTCACAGAATCCGTGTGTCTGTTTCCCCACAGAATTGCCAGACCTTCAGCAGCCTCAGCTGCCCGAACGCCGGCCTGGAGGACTGTGGCCCCCCGAGCCCCTTCGCCATCCACAGTGGCACCTGCTGCAGGACCACCTTGCTTTCGGCCTCCTCCACCAGCACCGGTGGCAGGACCCCTGCTGGGACCCCGGTCCTTGAGCCACTACCCCACGCCTTTGACGACCATCTTGCCAGCAAAGAGGACCTGTCCTGTGAGGAAGTGGACAGCTGTGCCCTGGATGAGTATCGAAGCCACAGGGAAGAGCCGGCCTCGACCTGGCGGGACCTGGGGGCCATGGGGAGTGGCCTTTGCTCCCTGGACGGTGAGCTGGACATTGAGCAGATAGAGAACAACTGAGGGCCAGAGGCCAGGCAGGCAGGGGCGTACCAGGGCCCGTGACTGCCTCTGGGCATGGAGGGCGCTCCTGGGCAGGGATGTGCCAGGGCCCATGTCCGCCTCTGGGCATGGTGGGCGCTTATGGGCAGGAGCCACACTCTGGGCCCGCCAGAGCTTTCCTAAAAGCATTGGGACCAGAGGAGTCTTCCTCATCCCCTGGGAGAAGACACTGCTCTCACCCCTCTGCTGTGAGCGCTGACCAGTGCCCACCAGTCCTTGCCCTGGGCTGACCTGGTCGTGCCACTGTGGAATGTACCAGCCTCTTCTGGGTGCTCGGTCCACCAACTACTGTAGCCCGCTGCAGCTTCTGGGTTTGGGTCTTGTACCCCTTCTTTTCATGGGCCGCTGGGCACATGCACCCAGTGACCGCCCCACCTTGCTGCCGCTTCCCGGCCTGGCTCGGGGCTGGGCCAGCATCACCTGGCTGTGTCCAGGCTGCTGGGCCTCTGCTCAGGTTCTGTCAGGGGAGCCGGCCGCGGCTTCACTCACTCCGTTCCTTTCTGTGCCTTCTCTCCCGTCTCCCCGCTTCAGCTGGGGCGCTTGGGAGATGCTCCCTTCTGTAATAACACCACAGCCATTTGGCCTTAATCCCAAGGGGCGAGGGTTGTGTGTGTCTGTCACCAGCACCTTCTCGGCTGCATGTGGCCCTGGCGGGGAGACCACATCCTGTGTCACTGCCAGGGCTGCTGGGCACCTCCTAGCCAGCGGATCCCAGGTGCCCTGGTGTGGTAAGCTCTCAGGAGGCAGGAGCTGTAGGCAGGTGTGTGCCGGCCCCGGGCTGATGGGGTCTGTGGAGACACGTTGGAGGGCCAGGGAGATGCCTGCAGTGCCCCTACCCCAGTTCCTCTGTTCTTGGGCCTAATCGGGGTGCATCTCTAACTCAAGGCAAACCACTTTTCTCCCAGCGGAGAGCAGTTGTCCTGAGAGCTGCCTCCTCGCTTGGCCCGGTCCCCCCCTCCACAGCCCCCTGGGGCCTGTGCATCCCAGCACACAGCTCTGCCCCAGGAGGCTGGCTCAGAGGGGCTGAGGGGCTGGCCTGCCCACCAGGTTAAAGGGAATCATTGTAGCCCTGGGGGTCCTTCCTGGTCCCTTGGCTTACGCTCACTCCTGCTGACCCTGCATACCTCGGTCCTCACCTTCCCCGCAAGGGGGAGGCCGCTTTCTCCTAAACCAGCCCTAAGATGCCCACAGGTGTCGAAGACCTCCAATGCCATGACCCAGGGCGAGGGGCCCCAGGTGGAGCCTCCTTCACCTCCCACCAGGCTCCCGTGGACGTGTCCCACCAGCCAGAGGACCGGCAGCCCCGTGGATAGGAGCTTCCTGATCCCCCTGTGCTCAGAGCAGACCCTGGGCAGGAGGTGTTGTCAGGGTCCCTGGGGGGGCCTGTCTAACTCCTGGAGGGGCCACAGTGACCTCTGCCCCAGACCTCCCACCTGTCCTGGCCCACCCCCAGATGAGGGAGGTCTGGCTGGGCCCTGTCACTATAGCTGCCCGAGACTAGCGAGTGCAGGGAGGAGTGGCCAGGGTGGGACTGAGGGTCCTCAGACCTGCCTATTCCCTCCCTCATCATGGACCTGGAGACTGAGGGCAGGAAGGATTCCAGCAGACGGCGGGGGGTCTTGGCCTCCTTCCTCTCAGGTCAGCCCCTGCGTGCTTCCAGGCACAAGTGGCCCAGGTCCCTGATGGGGCTTGGTTAGCCGTAACTACGCTGTCAGGGGCAAAACACAGGCCTTGGGTGGCAACAGACACATTGGGTGGGCCCACCTGGCCTCTGGTCCTGCTTCTCCTCAGACCACTGCCCCAGCAGGGGTCCCTGGAGGAGCTGGTGCAGGCACCCCACCTTTGTAGGCCCCCCCCTTCTGTAGCTGACACCTTTTACACCTGTCTCTAAGGGAATACAGCGTGTGAGGGCATCTGTCTGCCTACAGGGTGGGCTTCCTGTGCTCACAGCCTCATGCCCCCTCCACTCCTCACTGTGGGGTACAGGGCCCCGAGCCCCCTTGCCTTACTGAGGCCCCGAGGCCCGAGGGGTTTGTGCTGGTGACACAGATTTCCTCTCAGAAAGCCTTACTTTTCCAGTTTTTGTAGCAGGAGAGTTTTGTGAATTTGTATGCTGAGAAAATTTAAATAAAGGAAAAAAATAAGGAAACAAACCCAAATCTCTACACAGGTGTCCTGGTGGGAGGCGTGTGTGGTGCTCAGGCCTCTGTGGCCTTGGGCGGTCCCCTATGTCGGGGACCCCAGCGGCTGGGGCTGGTCAGGGGAGACCCCGCCTGTTTACCCACCTGCAGCCAGTCTGGTAGCTAAGCCTCACCTTCCAGAAGTTGCCTCCTGCTTTCTGTGACAGGAAGTGTCCCTTGAGTGGCTCCCTGGAGACCACCGAGGGCCTGTGTCCCCAGTGGTGATGGTGGTGGCCTGGCCTGCCCCTCGAGGTCTGTCCTGCTGCCCACCCTTGCCACAGTGTGTCCCCACACAGACCGCTGGCGTCCGCCGTGACTTGCACTAGCCCACGCTGGTCTCAGGAATTCGCTTGTTGCTTTTACTGTGTTAATAAAGCTTCCTGGTTCCATCCCGTGGCAGCGAGTGGTTGTGTGCTTTCTGCCACCCCCAGATCTGCCCAGAGCACTGCTCTGGGGACTTGGGCCTCTGTCCCTGCCAGTCACAGAGTTTCTGTCTGTGAAATGGGAGTGTCTGGCTATGAGGGGGGTGTCTGTGTGTGTGAGAGAGAGATAAAAGCCATGGCGGGGGTGTGTGTGTGTGTGTGAGACAGAGAAAGCCAGGGATCCTGCCCGGACTTCAGAACAGATGTCCCTCCAGGTCCTTTCTGGGTCAGCTGTGGGCTCCCAGGCATGGGGGGCACTTGCCACCATCCGCCATGGAGGTAAGGGGGGCAGGTGGCCATCCAGAATGCTACCAGGCTCAATCCCTGCTCCTGCGCCTCCAGGCGGGTCACTCCAGACAGCCCAGAGGTGCAGGGACTCCTCACAGGTGGACCCAGACCTCAGCCCTTCACCAAGTCCTTTTGAGTAGATGACAGCGCGCTGGAGGAAGGCTCTGCGGGGACGCTGGGCTCTGTTGGGAAGCGAGGCTCTAGAAGGGGCAGCAGGAGGTGGGGTCAGATGGAGATTCAGTTCTCCAGTCTGTCGCAGCCTGGAGTGAATCCGTTTGTCTCTGTACCTCAGTTTATTCATCTGTAAAGTGGGAAGTGTGAACACTCACCTCCCTGCAGCTCAGGGCCACCTTGTTCTCAGCCCCCACTGAGCAGAGGAGGGGCCGTGCTCAGGAGTTCTCTGACCCCTAACCTCCCATCCTGCCCCTGGGAGTGAGTGGCCCTCAGCCAGTCCAGGGGCTGGGAGGGAGAGAGCACGCCTTTTCCTTCTGAGAGACTCAGCCGCAACTGCAGGCTCCTGACAGGCAGGAAGGGAAGCTAGAGAGACCACCGGGCATCTCGGGCCCTGAGTCACGGTGCCCTCGGGCCCTGCTGTGCGCTGAGCATGGCTGGTCACTCTGCAGACAGGTCCCTACGAGGACCAAGAAGGGGTTACCTCTTCCCACTGAGTGACAGCTACCCACACAACCTTCTAACCTGGGTCACCACACAGGGGACGTGGGTGTCAGTGCCCCCTTGGTCATGCCCATCTCTGAGGAGTGGACACCCTTGGACCAGGCCACTACTTCTCTCAAGAGTTGTCTCCTGGGCTTCCTGGCAGCGTCTGCACTGATCTGAGGGGCCCCGTAGCTGAGGGAGCCTGGAAGCTGAGATGTGGCTGCAAGTGGATTTGGTCCCAGAGGCCTCAAGAGACAGGGCACCACCCTGGAAAGGACTGCTTGTCACCAGGGCCATGCTGCCCCAGGGCAGGGAAGCACCCAGCTCTCCTGGCTCACCCCATCCCAGATGGGGCAGGGGGACCCCTTCTGCTAGATGAAGAGGCCAGGTGGGGTTCTGAGCTCACTGCTCCCCACACAAGCCCTTCCCCGAAGTCAGAGCTGAGCCAGCTGCAGTGGAAGGCATTTATTGATTTAATGAGAGCTGTTCCCTCCTGGATCCATGGGTCGATTGCAGCCATGTCCAGTTACAGCCGGAGACTCACATATCGCTGAGGTGGTGGACGGGAGGGCAAGGTGCTGGGCAGCTGGCCTGGTGGGGTGAGGGTGCAGGACAGGCGAGCCTTCTGGGACCTCAGGGGTCTGTGTGTTGCAGCAGCAGGTCCACAGCCTGGGCGAGATTGTCCACATAGCCATCGGCCTGCACTTCAGGATGGTGCTCGTCGCTGGGCCTGGAGCAGGACACTGGCTGGTTAGAGGAGACCTCGAGGGACCACCGTCTGCTGGCCCTTCAGAGGCCTGGCCTGGCCCTTCTGCGCATGGCCACTGGCTGCCTCCCCACCTCACTTCCCAGGACATCCCTTGGGGTGACCAGCTTCCCTGTCAGAAGATGGGGGCATCCCACAGCCCTGTGTCTGGCCTGGGCCCAGCGGGAGGTACCAGTTCAGGGAACTAGGGCTCTCCACAAAGCCTACCCCAGGAAGGCACTGGAGCCCTCCTGCCCAAATGGGGTGTATGAGGGGGGAGCCCCGAGAATGGCATGTTGGGGATCCCAGGAGGGAGGGCTGCTGAGGGCAGGTCAGCCCAAGTTCAGAAGCCGAGGAACAGCACTGGCCCCACCCTTCAGGGGAAAGTTTTAGCCTGGGAACTGGGAGCCTAGGGAGGGTCCTAGTGCCCAGCGCCCCCAGCAAGGCCCCTGTTAGAGCTGGGGGTGCGGGCAGTGCAGGCCTCTCTGTTGTGGGTCCACGTTCCAGGCCAATCACAGGCCCCAGGGAACTGCCTCCAAAGACACAGGGCTGATGTGTGGCCAGGTCCCTCACCGGGGGCCAGCCTGCTTGTAGTCCCAGCTGAGCAAATAGCCCCCCTTTGACCGCCGCTTTAACAGAGACCAGCCAGCGGTCCATCGGACCCTCCTGGACACCTTTCATCAGGTGTGGTCTGGCCAGGTCACTATCAGATGGACCCCTGAACAGAGGTGCTGTTGAGATGGGGGACCAAGTCATAGCTGACCCTCCAGTGGGTTTTCAGAGGCAGTAAATCACACAGGAAGAGATTGCCTGTCTTTATCCCACAAAGCCGCTGGTGGATTCAAACTGCGGGCCTTGGAGTTGGCAGCACAGATCCTTACCAGTAGGCCACCACCTCCCTGAGCAGAGGGGCAGGAGCCTCCACAATGGGAGGTGCCTCAGGACGAGATTTCTAGGAGCCGCTCAGTAGGCCCCCTCTCCCCTCCCCTGACCTCTCTTCCCCTCCGCTGTTCTCTCCCCTCCCCTCCCCTCCCGTGGCCTCCCCTCCCCTCTCCCCTGGCCTCCCCTCACCTCCGATGGCCTCCCCTCCCCCCTCCCCTGGCCTCCCCTCACCTCCGATGGCCTCCCCTCACCTCCCATGGCCTCCCTTCACCTCCCATGGCCTCACCTTCCCTGACCTCACTTTGCCAGGTGGCCACCGGGCCAATTATGTGTGATTACATAATTAGTGTCTCAAGAAGCTATTAAATGAAGGTGCATTAGCAGCGGGCAGTGGTGGGGGATTCTGGATTCCATGTCTTCATGGCATGCTGGGAGCAGGGCTGAAGTGAGGGGCTGACTGGAGGCTGCCTCCACACCTGCTCTGTTGAAGCCCCCAGAAAATGGACAGACGGGACTATGACCAAACGGAGGCTGACACAGAAAGGCCCTGGAGACTTGAAAGGACACAAGTGCGCGGAGCGGAGCACACCTGGGCATCGAGGGCCGAGGGGAAATGGGAACAGACACAGGCTGGAGGAATGAAGAGACTGTAACAGAGCAGATGAGAGTGCGAGGTGGAGAGGGGGTGGGCTGGACAGTCGGGAGGGCACTGGGGAGGGAAGGAGAGGGGCCATGGTGTGAAGGGGCAGGCGCTCCAGTGGGGACAGCGTGGCATAGGATGGGGGTGGACAGGCCAGAGGTGCTTGCACACCTGGCTGGACCCCACAGCACCCCACTTTGCTAGTCACCCCAAGGCCAGTCTGCTGCTATCCTGACTTCCCTGCCCTTCTGCCTCCGTCCACACTATGCCTGGGGATGCTCTCCTGCGCCCCCTTCAAGACCTCACCTCGCCACGTCCATCTCCACACTACAACCACAGGGCATTTCTGACCACACCCCAGGCCACCCTCTCCGTCTCTGCCTTGCTGGCTGGGTTTCTGTCCTCCACACTAGTTATCCCTGCCTTGGGCCCCAGGAGTGGCAGAAAACAAAGCCGCTCTGTGTATCGACCGGGGTCCTTCACAGCACAATCACTGTGGATGAAGGGAGATGTGACTCAACCCACCACTGAAGTCCAGCCTCAGTGCCTCCATGACGCCCAACTCATGGGCTCATGTGGAGGCCTATGCCGCCTCTCCTAGTGCTGCTGACCACTGGGAGATGGGGCAGCCGGCCCTCGGGACGCAAAGGGACCTGAGGAGGCTGGCCCTGGGATGGGTACTGGGGGTTGCTGGGGACGACAGGCTGGCCCTGGGATGGGCACTGGGGGTGTGTGCTGGGGACAGGCTGGCCTTGGGCATGGCCATCAGGAGTGCTGGGGGTAGAATGGCTCTGGCATGGACATCAGGGGTGATGAGCACAGGCTAGCCTTGGCACTAAAGTGGACCAGGCCTGGCATGGACATCAGGGGCGTTGGGGTGGACTGGCCCTGGGCCCGGGCACTGGCTCGGTGACGCTCATTGCGGACAGTGCTGACGCAGTTGGAGGAAAGGACAGAGGGCATCCATTCATGACTTGAGGTCAGCTGGCGGGTAAGGGGGGTTCCATGGGGAACAGCCTAAGCGGTGTTCAGAGGGGATAGGTCCAGCTTGGCTTGGCTCTGATGGTGGGGGGGCGCTCAGCACCCCTCATGGGACAGGGATTCCTGAAGGCCGATTCCGTGCCTGGCATGAGTCAGCCGCCACTGGCCACGGCTCTGAGACCAGATCCATGCCATGGAGTCCTGCTGCCCCGCTGCCTGACCCCTGTGTGCTGTCCAGACCGCAGCTTGTGTGGTCTCGTGCATCAGGCTGGAGGCCCAGGATGGGCCCTACTGTCAGGCCAGTGACCACCCAGTGAAGTGGCCAAGCGATGCAGGTATTGGTCCAGTCTGGCCACTGTGCCCTGGGTCTATATGGGGCCCCGCTGGGAGGCGGTGGTCAGTAGGACACAGACTTTGGCTGGCACGCCGGCGTCTCTGGCCCCTCTAGCAGGGAAATCACCACAGCAGTCATGTGTCCACAGCTCTGTGGGGCTAGGGGTCCCAGGCCTAGCGCCCTCCTGCCTGGATGCCCTGCTGCCCCGCAGTTCAAGGCTCCAGACTCAGAACTCTGGCCTCAGGCAGGGGTTGGCTCAGCCCTCAAGCACCCTGGCCGTGGCGGCCTCCACTGTCTACTCTCTGGCCATGGTATCCTCCACAGTCCACCTGTACCTCAGCCTGAGTCTAAGTTTGTGACCAGGTTGAGGGCAGCAAAGGCGGGCAAAGCCCGGTGGGGTAGCCCTCCCAGCGGATCCCAGCACCATGCCTGGGGAGGACACTGGGTCTGTTCATGGCATCTCATCCAGGTGACTCCTTACCAACCAAAAGCCCAAAGCACTAGCTGCTTCTCCAGTCCTCTGGACAGGCGCTGAGGCATGCTGGGACCAGAGGCCAGCTTGTTCCAGCTGAAACAAGCCAGCAGGGACACAGACCACCTGCAGCATGCAGCCGCCTCCTCAGGTCTGCTTTTGCTGACATGAGGCCCGTGCAACCTCTGACGCTGGTTGAGGGCCCTTTGCCCAGTGCACACACGTGACAAGGCCACTGTCCAGATCCAGCTACCCCAGTCATGTCTAAGCAAGCCCACAGGCTGCTCTTTAAAATAGAACCTACCAGTTCTTTTCATTTGTCATAAATTCAAGTTTCCAACCATCTCTTGTAATGATGATACTGTTATGATTAATATATAAGAAGGAAACTGGCCATGTGGCTTGCGGGAGCAGATGTCACACAGGGTTGGTAAGCCAAGGTAGTTGGCAACTGCCCAGGCATGAAGCAAGTGGTTACAGTTTTTCATACTCCCCACTCATCTCGACTACTGTCCCCAGTTGTGCCTTCTGGCCTGAGCCTGCAGAAGTCATCATTTGCTGCCCTTACCCTACATTTTGGCAATCTAGACCATTCTGGGAGAACACAATGCCTCCTCCAGGAAGCCTACCCTGAAGACTCTGCAGCCCCGTGGAGAAGGCTCACTCTGTGACTATCTAGTTCCAATCTAGTAATTGTCTAATCTAGTACCTATCCACTTACTGTCCAGTGTCCCTTGCAGGCCGAGTCAGGGGGGCACCCAGGGGGGCTTGGAGCTCCTGACCAGGCTCTTGGCTCCCAGTGGAGATGGGAGCAATTGACCAGTGGTCTGAACAGATAGCCAGGCAGCCTCCATCCTGGTCACCCTGGCAGGGTAGCACTGCCCAGGCATGTGGCTGCTGGGAGCCCACACTGTCTAGGAACCCACGTGAGGATCAGCTAGCTGAGGATGGAGCACGTGGTGGCTGGGCAGAATGGATGTGCCCACCCAGGGCAAGGTCCTAACAGTGGGGGCCTCACCTTCCCTGCTGGCCTGTCAGGCCTGGCTGAGAGTTCACACACGCTCAGGATTCCTTCACCTCCTTGGGGAGCTCTCCCCAGCCCTGGAGCTACCTGTCTGGAGGACACCAACCTGGACGCATCACCCTGGCCGTCTCTACTTCCCCAGTGATCTGCCCCTCCAAGCTCACCACTCTGCAAGATGGCCCGTGTACAGAAGCCAGGTCCGTGTACAGGATCAGAGAGGACAGGAGAAGGGGAGGAGGATGATCAGAAGCTTCAGATGCCATCTGACTGGGGCGCAGCGTCAGGGACAGACAGAAGGATGTTTTTAGGTGCCATCAAGTCAACTACAACACACAGGGACCAGTGAACAACAGGCCTTTGAACAACCTTGCCTTCTCCTGCATCATCCCCACGATCTCTGTCCGGCTCAAGCCCACGGCGGGAGGTGCATCAGTCCATCACGCGGAGGGTTTGCCTAGTTTCCACTGAACCTCTGCCTTTCTCAGCATGATGTCTCTAAGGACTAAAAATATGTCCGAGGAGCGAGCCCAAGTTCACCATCCTGGCCTCTCTGGTTCCACCTCCTTCAGGACAGATTTCTTTGCTCTTGTGGTGGTTCATGGCATATTCACTACTCTGCACCAACACCAGAGTTCAAAGGCATGGATTCTTC